GCAGGGCTAAGTAACAGAAGTACATGGGCCAAACTAAAAGCAACACAATAAAAATTTCAAACTCAGTTTGTCTTTATGAGAAGAGATTCAGTTTTCATGTATTGATTATATATGTCTTTTTCTCATCCTGAGATTGGGGTGGTCACCCAACTTGACAGTATTTGAATGTTGTGTTGTCTAGGGAAAGGAGGTGACCATTTGAATCCTCTTTAAGAATATGGTTTTATGATTTTTTTTTTGCCGTGCATGACATCATGACCTTGCTGCTTTAAACTCACAAAAAATGAAGAGACCTTTGCATTTCTTGTAATTATTATAAAGAAGCATTCTCTTATATACACTATTATATTGCTGTTATAATGTAGCAGCTTATGTACAAGACTACCAAGTTTGTTGTTTTTGACATGTGTGTAGTAAAAAAGTAATGATATATAAGGTAATGGCAACTAAAGGAAAATATTCCTTCATTTTGATCAAACACTTAAATGTTATATTGTAGAGTTTGAAAAACTACAATGGTTTGTTCTGAAATGATTTTTGAGTAAAAAAGATGCCAAAATCCATTTAACATGACACTTCTTTTGTTGGATGAGTGTTGTGCTTTACATGCTCTTCAACATATACTTTAAAATATTGTATTGATTATTTTTATGTTATGTATGTGAGTGCTTTGCCTGCATGTGTGTAAGTGCATCCATGTCATGCAACACCTGTAGAGACTGAAAGAGGGCATTGAATCCCCTGGAACTGGAGTTAGTACAGTTGTTAGCTGCCGTGTGGGTGCTGTAAACCTAACCCAGGTCCTCTGCAAGAGCAGCTAGTGCTCTTAACTGCTGGGTCATCTCTTCAGTCCTTGCAATATATAGTTTAAAACTTAGCCCATCTTCTATCTATACTGATTTTCGAGAGAATTGGTTTTCAACACACAGGTGAGTAGAATTCATATTTATGACACACAATATAATAAATAGCTACAATGACTAGTAATTTCTTTTTGCAGTATATTTTTATAACTATAAATTAGCTGATGAGAAATTTATCATGTATATGTTCTTTTAATATCCCTACAAGGCAACGGTAGAGTTCTCTACAATCAGTTAATGAAGTTGTTTGATGACAGTGGGCGAGAAACATTTCAAGGTGAGAGACCAATTATTTTCAGTCTTCTTTTTTAATATTAGTTACAATTTGATTGACATGGTTTCTTGCAAATGATAATCTATTTTTTCTGAATAGAACAGTTCATTGATGACCTATATGTGGTTTTTAGGGTTACAAAAATTTAAGTGTAGCTAAAATTTAGGGAAAAGTAATTATGGTCTCATAATTGCATGCAACTTGTAACCTGAAATGGCAAAAATGATGTCAGATTACCTGTTGCAGAAACTTACAAAAATCTGCGACATATTGGATTCAGTAATTTATAAGGTGATATGCTACTTTGTTTTCTACTTTTGGATCTTATTTATTCATATTTTATGTTTATAAGTGTTCTGGTTGCATGTAAGTGCACAAGTTCTGTTCAATGTCCACAGAGGCCAGAAAAGGGTGTTGGATTCCCCTTGGAACTGGAGTTGTGGATAGTTGTTAGCTAGCTAGTGGGTGCTGAGCACTGAACCAAGATCCTCTGTAAGAGCAGCCAGTGCTCTTAACTGCTGAGCCATCTCTCCAGCTCCCATTTTGGTTTCCTTTGCTTTTGTTCTAGAACACAGGATCTTAGAATTTATCCAAATGCTTTGGGGTGATAAAAGCCAAAAAAATCTGTTCTCCACTTTAGCATGGGAATTCCTACCTACAGAATGTTGTATTCATCTTATGAGTTATTTTCTATTAAACTGAAAAATTTGAAAGCAATTCTTTAAAACCTAAATTTAAAATTTTTAGTTTAATGATTGATGGTGATAAATTCCTGACAGAAACACACAGTAGTTTTTAACCAGAGCATTAAGTGAAAAGTTGTCTTGTCTGTGCATGATGAATTCATGAGGAATCATTCTATTAATTTTTTTCTACAGTGTGTTCTTAATTCTTCTCAAACAATCTCTTTGTCTTCCTTATTAAAAGAAGTTCTTAAAGTACTTAAGTAGGGAAAGGGGCTGATTATTATTAAATCTTTTTAAAATTAAAAAAATATTTTTATTTATTATTTTTATGTGCATGTGTGTATTGCCTGCATGTAGGTAAGTGCACCCATGTCATGCAATGCTCACGGAGGACAGAAGAGGCTGTCAGATTCCCTGGAACTGGAGTTACAGATAGTTGTTAGCTACCATGTGGGTGCTGGGATTTGGACCCGAGTCTTCTGCAAGAACAACCAATGTTCTTACCATTGATACATCTCTCCAGTCCCCTATTAAATCTTTTGATAGTTAATATTCTATTGAATTGATTAGTTTCTCTAGGCTTCATATTGTTTATTAGCTGTGTGACCAATGACCAATTTTATTAACCTTTCTTTCCAGTTTCCTCCTAATGGATAGATAATGTCTCCATATGGAGTAGTTATGAGGGTGAGATGATTAATTATTACCTTTGAAGATACAAAAAGACATACTTTAGAATAATAAAGATGCTATTGAAAATGATGATGATGAGGAAAACGTTGATGCTAGGAGACAGTGGAGCTCCTATGAGTGTCTGGCACTGCCCCGACCACTGAGAAAAGCAGAAACGTACCACAACAATTATAGGGTGGTCCTTGTTTTCAATCCCCATTTATGGAATAGTACCCTCCTCAGTTTTCTCCTGTTTAAACATGCACATAGCCCAGTCTTTACTGTTTTTGTTGTGAATTTGGGTGTTCAACATTGTATCTTTCACCTTTATAAATCAGCTATATAAAACATATCTTTTCAAAATACCTATATTATTCATTTGAGTGACCCTAAATCAGATGTTTTAGATTTTACAGCCATCCAGGGGTGAGGGAGAAATTTTTTTATGCCTGTAATTCTGCAATCCCAGGACTCAGGGCACTGAGTGTTGGTGTTAGAGACCAGCCTGGACTACGTAAGAAAACTGTTGCAAAAATCCAAAATAACAAGAATAACAAAACTTAATACCATCAGCATCAAAAAACCTACAACAGCAAAACATTGGTTCACATTTTGGTAGGTGTTGCAAGTCTGAAAATGACAGGGAAAAGTGGACAGGTTGAAGAATCAAGTAGAGCTGACATGAAATTGAAGTTTTAAAGACAAATTGCACAGGATAGAAACTCAATTAAGAGAGTCTGATATTATAATCTTGAGACCAAAATCCACAAGGCAGGCTGGAGATTAAAGCAAGTTTTCTGTACTGCTGACTGGAGACCAATCTCTTTCTTCTTCAGAAAACTCTGGTCTATTTTTGAGGTTTTCAGCAGATTAGATGAGGCCCACCTATAATTGGAGAAATAATCTGCCTTGTTCACAGTCTATTGATTTAAATGACAATCAAATCTAAAACAGATTTTCATAGCAACATGCAAGCTGGTTGACCACACAATAGGGTGTCATAGCCTCATCAAGCTGACACATCAAATACAGTGTCACAGACAATTATTCTTAGGTCAGATCCCTAAGTATCCTATTTATTTCTGAGTCAGCAGCTTTGTGTTGAAAACCTAACCATGCTAAACACCAAGGAACCAAGTAACGAATGTCTAGTACCTCCTTTCTCTTCTGACAGCTCTTTTAGCTTGAGTACTTTGAATCCTCCCCAGTCACACTTGGACAGATAGTAACTAATAGGTCTTCTTAAATCCTTCATGGGCTTACAAATGTCTCACAGTGTTTGTAGGACAGTTAAGCATGTTGTCAGCTATTTTATACATGAGGACATAACTGATCCTAGAAAGCTGAAGCTTTCTGCAAAGCAACACAGTGTCAGTGAGCACAGAAGACAGCCAGCACCCTCTCTCTGAACACTGTAACCCAGGGCTCTCACTAGTTCCCATGTCATTTTCCTGTTAAAGCAGCTCCATTGCATGAGTTGCTGTTAAAATGCTCGCACTGGAGATGTGGAAGACGCTCACTTGTTCCAGCGTTTTTCAGAGATTAGAATATGGAGTAGTGTTTTCTGTTCAAAGCATGCCTCTGGCATGGCTGAAAAGAGTGTTTTGTAGATGATGTCTTCAGATGGTCCAGAGGTATAACCTGAGCTCCATTTACATAAATGCTAGCGTTTCTATCCAAACAAACAAGGAGACTCAAATAAAGTGCCTCTGTGTGTGCAGAGCTCAGGAAGTATTCACAGAGACCTGAACTGGGAAAAATGAACCAAAGAACTCTTGCTTCAAAATGTAGTCATGTCCCAAGGTGGATCAGCATCACACAGTAAGGAGTAAGATGTTGAACTGAACAGCAGGTAACAGTAACATGTGGAAAGAATACTGTATATCTTTCAGGATGTATTTCATAAGTGGAGAAAGGTAGAAATCATCTTGTAAGTATTGCAGGCTAAACATAGGTAATGGTGGTTGAATATTTAAGCTTTGGAACTTGAGTGATTTTCCAGTACATTACATAGAAAGTAAGTTGTTGAATTATAAATAATGAAAAACCCACTTACTCCATGTGGTGCTTTGAATGAGAAATGTCTGCTAGAGGCTGAACACCTGGCCACTTGGTGGCGCTGTTGGGGGGAGTCATGGAACCTTTAGGAGGTGTGGCCTAGCTGGAGGAAACGTCAATGAGGGTGAGCTTTCAGAATCCATAGCCTCGCCCCACTTCCACCTTGTTTTCTGCTTTCTGTGCCTGCTTGAAGATGTGAATATTCAGCTTTCTGCTATGGCCACCTCTGCTACCATGCCTCCCTGCCATGATGGACTCTTACCCCTCTGCAACATTAAGCCAAATAAACCCTTCTATAAGTTGTCTTGGTCAGGGTATTTTATCATAGCAGCAGAAAAGTAACTCATACATTCCATATAAGAAAGAAATGCAGTGGAAGTTTATGTATTTATTTAATATTAAAACAACAAAGGTGAGTGAGACTCCATGTGCTCTTGTGGTCAGCAGATGAAAAGAACAACGAGGAGACATTTGATTTGAAAGCACTCCTGAGTTCCAGTAAGAGCCAGGATACCCACAAAAAAACTAAGGAAACCACTTCTGCTTACAGTGAGGAGCCTAAGAAAGATGCTCAGAGAGACACCATTATGCTTGCAAGGTCTCTACAGGAACAGGTCAGAGTTGAAAATATATCAAAACCTTAAGATGATTTATTGTTAAAATAGCAAGTTGAAATGTTGTCCTACACATTATCTGTCTCCCAACCTTACTTGCCAGCAAAGCTTCCTAGAATTCATGATTTGTGATGTCCTGAGAATTTCTTCTTATTTTTCCATACATATTTTACCAGGTAGAATCATTGCTACCCTGGCCTTTGCATGACTTAGTTTCAGTTCATCTGATTTTATTTTGTGTTACAGTACTCAATACTAGCAGATTCTGAACTACCTAAGATAAAACCTGAGCTAGAATAAACCTTTTATTTGCAATTAAGGAACGATTTGGATGTGTTTGCACAGCTCTGTATCATGACTTGAGCGTTCTAGTATCTGTAAAGTCAGCATGTAAGAAATTTAACTTGGACACAATAGTTGATATGACTTCAGAGACACCCGCTCTGATTTCCGTATCTGTCCTTTCTGTGTATTTATGTATAAGTATTGTTTCATTATGGAAAACTTTGATCTACCAAGGAGAAGAGTTGCTGATATTTAGTTACTTTATTAATCACGAATAAAGATATGAGTCCTTCAGATGTCATTCCAGGGACATTGAATGTGTGTGCGTTTGTGTGTGCATGCATGTGTGTGTGCATGTGTGTATGTGTGTGTTTATGTGTGTGTTATATTGCTGTGTGTGTATGTAAAATGTATGACAATTCAACAATTTCATAAAATGAAAAATCATTTTTATATTAGAAATATATTCTATTTAATGTAAATAGTATCCATTCACTCATGACTAGAATATAATTTCATCCTCAGTACTGATTAAAAAGATAATTTTTAGAAAGCTTTTAACTATCAGCATAAACCACAAATACACTCAAAGGATATTAGTCTTTTGGATAGAGGAAGTTAGATGTTTCATTCTATTTCAAAATGAAGTTAAATCATAGATGAAAAGACAAGGATGGAATCTATGAAAAAGTGGAGATAAGATTTTATTTCATATATCGTGTCAAATAAAAAGGGTATTTTTTTATAGATCATCAATAAAAGTAGATTTTTTCAATATTTACCTACTTTTATTAGTAACCCCAAATTCCTAATCCCACTAGAGAAAAATAAAATGACTACAATATGATGATCCAGCATTGACAGACAAGTGCACAGAAAAATTAAAAAATATACGTTTGAGCAGGTTCCCAGGAGCTTGTAGAACTCTGTTTCCATATGATGATATACCTCCTCCCTGACTCTCACAATTTTCCTCCCCCTCTTCCATGATGCTCCCTGAGACTTGGGTGGGTGATGTTTACTAACGGAGTCCTGTCCAAGGGCCATCATTCAGCAGACTCTTGATCTCTATGCTTTGGCCATCTGTGACCTTTTGTGTTCCTGGTCTTCTGCTACATGAGGGAGCTTCATTAATGAGAACTGAGAAATTCATTAGTGTCCTCTTCTTTACCCCCATTCTTTGTTCCATGAGTCTTAGGTGCAGAGGTTGCATTGTAGATGTGTCACTTAGGCCTGGGTAATTCGCAGACAATGTCTGTGTGTGGTACTTGGTAACAGTCCCGAACTGGTGCAAAATGAGCTTCTTTGATGAGTGGTGACTGGGATATTTGTCTGCAAATTTCATGAAGAAACATTGGTAACTGATTTCTGCAAAGTGAAGAAGAGCTAATCTTCCTAAAACAAGGGACTCTAGATGGGCTGACTAGACCTCAGTGGACTGTCTTGCACTAGGGAATGTCTGTGGAAATTAACTGGACACAGTGGGCCTTAACAGGGATGACAGAATTTATGGCCTCCAGTGGGGTGGCTATGGGAGGGTGCCAATGAGGTCGGGGTATAAAGATGATTAAGAATGTTTGAGATGTTCTCTATGAAATACACAAAAATTAAGTTCTATGAAATACACAAAAATTGAATAAAAACAAATATATATATATATATATATATATATACACACAAAGTCCATGATTCCACATTCTGTTTGAATCATTAACTTATATTTCAATATTTTCTTAAGAGTAGATATGGTGAGGCTGGAGAGATGACTTAGTGTTTAAAAGCACTGGCTGCTTTTGCAAAGGAACCAGCTTAGATTCCAAGCACTCACTTGGCAGCTAACAACCATCATTAAATCCAGCTCCAGGGAAATTCAGCTCCCTCTTCTTATTCCTTGGCCATTACATGACACAAATGCACTTACACACATGCAGGTAATACATTAATACATTACATACACATAAAATAAAAATCATAAATAAAATATTTTTTAAAAGAGTAAATATGAAAAATGATGTACGTACTTCTAAAAATAAAGGAAATCAGATACTTTGCTACCATATATTTCACCTTAATTACATGATGAATTACATATTTTCATATATTAAAAATATTTTATAACCCATGATTAAGACATATGTTTCCAATTACTTGAGACCTCTGTAATTCTTCAAATATAATTTCTAATCTGGAGTTGTGCTTTTTTTGGAGGTTGTAGAAGGTGTGGCTCTCCCAGAGGAAGCACGTCACTGGGGGTGAGTGGGCTTAGGGAGTTCTTAAGCCTTGCCAGGTCTCCAGTTGCTCTCTTGCTTCCTGTGCCTGTGTGATGATGTGAGAGCTTAGCTTCTGCTGCTCCTGCTCCAGTCACCTCCAGCTGCCTAAAGCCACCATGCCTCCCTGCCATGACAGACTGTAATTCCCCTGGAACTGTAAGCTCAAACAAACTCTTTCTTCTATAAATTGCTTTGGTCAGTGTTTCTAGCACAGCAACAGAAAAGTGACTAATACAAGTTGTGATAAATATTTTGTTATAATTTGTCATAAGTATTTCATATATATTTTGTTATTACTATAAGTGGTATTTTTAAAAAACATTTATTTAATGATCACACGATTAGAAGAAGCATTTCATTACAGCATTAACATATTCAATAACAATTTCCAAAGCAAAGATGCATCTCTTTCAATATTGGCTGTAAATTTTTAGGTTCACAGTTGAAGTAATACAGTTATACAATATTGTACTCAGAATAAACCCTATAAGACATAAAATTGAATGAGGTTTTAACCTTGGAAAAAGATCTCAATTTCATTTTAAAATATACTGTTTCATACAAAAAAACTCATATTTAATGTTACTAACGCTTAGATGTTTGCACGTGTCTGATTATTACTAGTCACAGTTGGTTACTTTCTGAGATCCACCTGATCATGGATACAAAATCATCAGGTAGCTTTCAATGGTAATGTGTTTCACCTGTACTAATTAACATGGAAAAAATTTTTATGCTTCTTTCTCAAATATAACTCACTTTTTTTATTTGTTGATTTTTTTTTGTGTATTTCATACAGAACATCCAAAACAATCTTATCTATATACCCACATCAAAAATGGCACCTTCCCGTAGTCTCCCCCCCTCCTCCGCTGGGGTCCATATACTCTGTGATCCCCTGTTACTGTCCACTGTGTTGTCGGCACCCCCAGCCATTCTCCAGTGCTTGTCCATCTGGTGAATCTAGTCAGCCTATGTAGAGTTCCTTGTTTTAAGAAGATCAGCTTTTCCTCATCTAGCAATAATCAGCTGTCAATATTCCTTTAGATAAGATTGGGGTCTGCTGTTCATTTTTCCAGTTCTATGCTGGGTTATTGTCTGGGGGTCTCTTGGGTCACCCTGGCCAACAATTCAAAGGAAGGTATCTCCTGTCTGGCATTGTTTCTTGTTATGTAGCTTTTAGATATACACATGGACTCTTAAAGAATTATGTTGATCCCTTTAACCTTTGGTTATACTTTCCTTTTGGGTGTTTAAAACCATACAGTTGACCCAGATAAATCAATTTATTTTTACTCTTAAGGTTGTTTGAGGATCTGTTCCTCAGGGGTCACATGGATTTGGGAGGAGCTCCTGGCTTCTTTCGTTTAACCAGTTCCATCTATGTGAAGATAAGTCAAAGTTCCTGCTCAACTGTGGCTGGCTTCACTTGGAAACATGGAGGAAATGATTCCACTGTGTTGACCCTCCTCTTTGTAGACTGGACACTGGTTCAAGTCCATTTGGTGGGGTCTCCATGGCCTTCTTGATCAAGAGGGCAGATGACTTACCACAGTTACAGGACATTTTGAGAGATGCTCATAGTCCCCTGGAGCTTAGTCAACCTAGGAGGGCAAGGAGCAAAAACTGTCCTTTATGTCCCTCTGACCAAATTAGTATAGGCCTCAAAGTATGGCCGTTAGACATCCAAGAAGGTTAGTTCCACCAGTCTGGTACTTTTAATTACCATGTGCTATGTAGATAAAGCTTGGGCAAAGACCAAACATTTTCAGATAAACCTTGCCTAGACATGTATTATAGTCCTTGAGCTAGTTGTATGTATAATTTGTCAGTGGGTTCGATTACTATGGTTCACTCTGATTTTTTAAAACTAGCTACACATTATTTATCTCTCTCGTTGTTTAATCCTTCCACCATGTTTTCCCCATTTAAAGTGCCCCCATTTTTCCCATTTCTCCCTTAGTAATACCCTTCTCCTATGGTCCCACCTCTCTTGAGCTCCTTCTTTCCCTTTTTCCCCAAGGTTCCTTGTATAACCCTCCCTTCCCCCTCCCCTTAAAATAACCCCATTTTTATCCATATCTCCCTTATTAATGCCTGTTTCCTACTGTTCTTCTCTTTCAGATTATTTCTTTTCCTTTACCTCTCTGGTTCCTTTTCATTATCTGAAAAATTGTTTTTAAGGATATATTTCAAAGCAATAACTCATAGCTAAAATATCATTGACTTCAAAAGTCAACAGAGTAACTGCTGGAATGGACAGGCAACATTTTCTAATTATGGGTTTGGGGAATTCATAATTGTGTTTAAGTTCTTTGTACAACTTAGATCTGAACATACTGGGTATGTTAAGGTTGTGTCTTTTTTAAAAAATATTTTATTTATTACTTAAAAAAATTTATGTGTATGAGTGTATTGCCTGCATGTATATAGATGCACCTATGT